AGATTTGCTCGCTAAATTCTGAGCACAAAGCCAGATTAAGTCCTGAGTTGCACCCTGGAAGACGGTAGGCATTCAGATGCTTAACCAAGAACAGCTGAGAGGTCGCTGTGGACATCATTTTGACTTGGGTAGCTGTTCTCCAGTCTGAAAGCTTCCTCCACATTCGTGCATGGCATTTTGCGTCGTTAGACTATCCCCACAGGTGCATGGACTATTGATGTAGCAGCACTGATTACTAGAAATAGGAAGGGCAAAATGAATTGACTAGTGAAGGTGCTAGTCTGTCACTTGTCTGCCTTGACCCAGCTGGCAGAGCATTCTCCATGTGAGGGTGGGCTATGAAAGCAGCAAAAACATAAGGACATAAGAAAACTTCCTTACTAGGAGGGTGGTGAAGCATTGGAGCAGGTTACCCAGAGAGGTGGTGGAAGCTCCATCCTTGAAGGTTTTTAAGGCCTGGCTTGACAAAGTCCTGACTGGGATGATGTAGCTGAGGATGGTCCTGCTTTGGGCAGGGGGTTGGACTAGGTGTGAGCTCCTGAGCTCCCTTCCAACCCTAATTGTCTATGAGTCTAAGAAGTGCCATACTGGGTCATGCCAGTGGTCCTTCTAGTCCAGTATCCTGTCTGTGCTGGGCAGACGTAGATGTTATTCAGGGAGGGCATCTGAACTGGATACAACCAGAGTGATCTATCCCCTGTTCATTACCCTCACTGGCATCTACCGTCAGTGGTGTAGAGATGCCACAGAAAACATCGCTAACTGTTCTGTTCAATAGCTATCGCCCATGAATTTGCACAGCCCGTTTTTGAACGTGGCTGTACTATCTGCCTCTACGACCTCCTGTGGCAACAATTAGGGACTACTAAATGCACACCTAAGGATCGTCCAACTTACCACTTGCATTCTGTAACTCTGTGCTACGTGTCATTAATAAACCGAATTGCATAACAAAGTTTACTTGGCAGAGGAGCTACTTCTTGCGCCTGCAACTAATCACATCACACCACTGCATTGTTTGGGATTTGTTCTGTTTCGCAGACGGATAACTTATATAAGGCATAGTGAATGCAAATCCACTGGCATAGGAAAATGAGCGTGTGCAGACCTCTCTTCAGGTCCCACGCCACACATACATGTGTTGCTGCAGAAGTTAGTTACCTCCATTAACTTGTTGAACATCACAGATGACCTGTCATGAAGATGTGTGCGCTTTTGAAAGAGAGGCAGACAGAAACAAATGCACATGCTCTCTTGTGTGTCATTAGAAATCAATGGAAAAGGTCTGAGCCAAAATCTTTACTTGCTCTTCCTGCCAGCAGTCTTGTCTTTGTAAAAGAAAGTCACAGGCAGTGAGATGGAGGACACATCCAGATACCAGACATCTTATATGCACACACACAAAATGTTGTTTCAGCTAAAAGCATTCAGATCTTTGCTTTCCAATGGCCTTTTCCTCAACAAATCTGGTACTTGGAAAAGCCAACTCTCCATTAGCTTTCTATTTGCTTTCTTCATTATTTCAAGTGCAGGATGTGATCTCATTCTGCTCTGTCTCTTTCTGGAGGAATTCTTTGAGACTCGGTTTAAACAAGCAAAACGGCAGTAATTCAGACCATCAGAAGCAGAGTATTGACGACGCTCCGTTCACAAAAACCCAATCTGGGCATGTTAAGTCCCCAAAATGTACCATCCAAGACATAAGCACGGTGCAGGGATAAGTAGTTGTGAAAGGAAAACTCCTGAAAGTGCTTCATTTATAAATAAATAAGTAGCTACTTCCAGTAATTTTGCAGTTTGTGCATTTTGGTCGAATGGCTGTGGAAACTTCCGTGTATTTCCACTTTAGGCATGATGTCTTGTTAAGTGCAGTATGAACGTCTTGACTTCATATTCCCGTGTATGGGCAATACCAGAAATTCCCGTGGACCTAGTTTAGACTTCGCTTCAATTAGATGCCTTTAGTCGTATACTTGGGACATTTTTGCACTGAGATCCCTGGGAGGAAAAGAGAGTTGCAACCTTGAATGAAAACAATTGCTATATAGGGCTCTTGGGACCTTCCCCTAGCCTGCCTTCCAAATCTCAGAGTAAAATTTTAAAACCTTGATTAGGGGTTTAAGCTGTGTGACTCCCATTGGTATTGTAATGGGATTTGCAGTGCTGAAGCCCCAGAGACCACTTTGAAAACGTACCCCTTCTTGTTTGTCGGACGGCACTTTACTCTTCCTCTCGACTGAGCGGGTAACATTCATTATGTGCACTGACACGCTGAAGTTTTGCCCAGTCTGCCAGATAAACCGAAATCATCGGACTGACCCAACTGTGAATGTCTTCATTGATTTTTAAAGGGGTGTTAACATCGAAGCCTCGTTTCCTGCACTGTTTTATAAAAGTGTTATAAAATCAATTGATAAAAAACACCCCCAAAAAACAAGGAAACAACAGTTCTCAGTCCTTTCATTTTAAGAACAGATGGTTTTAAATTTAGTGGCAACTGTAAATGCTCCTAGCACCATTTACTTCTTAAATGTACACAGGTTTGCTGTGCAGTTGAGTAAGTAGAGCAAGGCCTTGTCTACACTCGGAAGTGGCGGCGTACCGGGCTAGCTGCACGACAGGCCCTGCAAGGTTAAACAGAGCTGATATCAGCAGGAGACTTATTTTGCTGGATCGTTTCTACCAGCACTGGGAATGAAACAGCGCGACGGGGCCAAAGGACGTTTTTTGCTGGCATCTCTGCTTCTACGTTCGAGCCGCTGCCAGCAGAGCTGTGCTGGTTCTGGGCGCGGGTCTTTTGCGTGTTCGTTTGTCCCCTGCTCCTAGCTGGCGTAATTCTGCTGATTGGAGCGTTTACGTGTAAACCAGGCCTGAGATAATGCAGGGTGGTTTGTTTTAGTCTGGGTAATTTTTAACTACCAAAGCTAATCCTTCATCTGGATAGTATATCTTAACCCTGCCAAGATCCAATAAATCACTGGAAAGAAGTACAAGATAACGTTTGAAATCTGTGCAGATTTTTGTCGTCTTTTGCAGCTCGAACATGCCTATCGCTATCGCTATGCCTCCTATTTGGCATAGCGATCGTCCCTCTGAAATAAAATGGGACAGTATACTCCATTTCACTATTACTTCTTAAATGCTTTTCCTCCTCGTGTATGGAGAGTGCAGTTGCTCTGGCTCAAGCAGACATTGTTCCTCAAGAAATATGGGGACTAACTTTTTTCTCATTTCCCTA